AGGATGTTATGGCAATGTAATGACTGAAAACATATTAAATTATTTACTGGAATACTGACCCTGAGAGACTTATGTTGCTTTTTAAATGGAAAACCTTTATATATTTATTCATTTATTTCTGATAAATTCTTCATACAAAAAGATATATTGGAATTATTTTACAGGTACCAGACTACTATGACATCATTAAAAAGCCTATTGCCTTAAATATAATTCGTGAAAAAGTCAATAAATGTGAATATAAATTAGCATGTAAGTAATTTATGTTTTCTTTTGAAAATTTTTTCTCTTTAAAAGGGGCTATTTTTGTTTCGGATATGTTAATATAGTGTCATATGAATGATATCCCAAAAGCTCCCTAGAATACTTATCACTGCATATGGACAAGAAAAATGGATTAGGGTTGAATGTGTTTAAGATATTTTATAGAACCCTATCTTACTAAAAAGAAGTTCTTTATAACTGCATACTATACATAATTATTTAAGTGCATACTTTCAACAAAACTATTTTAAAATATTTTATAGTTAAGTTCTAACTTGTTTTATAATCATTTCTTTCTGAAGAAAACAGATTTATATTTTCTGAAGTTTCCAGCTGTAATACAAAAATTGTATTTATAATTTATGTATTTTCATTCTAATCGTATTTATTTTTTTTCCTCTCTAGCTGAGTTTATTGATGATATCGAATTAATGTTTTCGAACTGCTTTGAGTACAACCCTCGCAATACAAGTGAAGCAAAAGCTGGAACCAGGCTTCAAGCATTTTTTCATATTCAGGCTCAAAAGCTTGGACTCCATGTCACACCCAGCAACGTGGACCATGTTATTAGCACGCCACCTGCTGCAAAAAAGTCACGAATCTAATTTTTGTCCTTGTAAAGGATATATTTCAGGAAAAAAAATTGTTCATGAAAATGGAACATTAAATCATGCTCAAAGCAAATGTATGTATAAAGCAATAACAACTGATTGACCACTTGAAGTGTGACCTGCACTCAGCTCAATTTTAATATTAAGCACTCAGGAGAATGTAGGAAAGATTTCCTTTGCTACAATTTTGTTCAGTATCTAATAAGTTTGATAGATGTATGGATACAGTACTGGTTTACAGAAATTTTTGTACATTTTGAGATCATTCATGTGTGCAGATATCTTGGAAAATATTTTTTCACTCTATGATTGATTTTGTCAGGTTTTTTTTTAGAAATTGTAGTATTACAGGAGAAATATCTACACAGATGGGTCTTCTGTTATAGTACATGTTACAGAACTGTGTACATGTCTTAAGAATTGTTTAATGAGCATATTCTTTCAACACTACACATGAATGGATCCAATTTTATATCCCTTGAAGTGCTGTACCAGTGCTGGCTGGACATACTAAGTACTGAGTTTATTAACTAGATATTTATTTAGTATTCAGAGTAATTTGTGAATTTGTTTTATATTTATAAAATTTATACTTGGAAAATGTTA